TTGGATAAAGGAGATAAGATACAAATAAAAAGGAGCTAAAATAAAGAACTTGAAATAACTTGTAACAAGAGCTGAAATGGAGAAAAGGACAAGGAAGATCAAGAATTGGTCAGTACTACCATGTTTCCCCAAAAATAAGACTGGGTCTTACATATATTTTTTACCAAAAGACCCATTAGGTCTTATTTTCAGCGGATGTCTTACATTACAGCAGGCGGCAAACATTCCTCTGTCGCGTTCCTCCGCCACCGTGTGCAGTCCCACAAACTTCTTTTGTTCTAAAAAAAAAGTTCAATTCCAACTTCTCGTGGAAAAAAAAAGATCTCACGAAGTTGGAATTGATCGAACTTTTTTTTTTTAGTCCCACAAACATCTTTTGTTTGTTGGACTGCACATGGCGGCAGAGGAATGTGGCAGAGGAACGCATCGAAGCTGGAAAGGTGCCGTGTGGGTCCGATCGGAGGGGGGGATCTGCTAGGCATCTTGGCAGCGGCTTTGGTGGGCGTGACGTGGCGTGGCCAAAAGTGGCCGCAGAACAAGTGGGGCAGCATGAGAGGCTGCAGCAGGGAACCAGGAAGTGGGATGCGTGGGTCAGATTCTCCCCTCTCCATTGGCTTAGCCTCATGGTAGCAGCACTGGCAGCTTCCTCCCCCCCACTTGTGTCTATGGTACGGTAGCAACCAGACGGAATAGGTGGTTAGCTGCACAGGCTCTTAAGTAAGGCTTACTTTCAGGCTTACATTAGGCTCACCCCTGAAACTCAAGGTAGGCTTCTATTCGTGGAAACACGATAGGTGAAGATGAACTGCATGGTTTTTGGTTAAAGCATCTGAATGGTCTGCGCAACTCCTTGCCAAGCAGTTTAACAACATAGTACAAGGAGATAAAATTGAAGATTGGTTAATATCTAGCAAAACCTGCCTGATAATGAAAGGTCCAGCAAAAGAAACAGTGCCAGGCAACTACAGGCCAATTAGCTGCTTACCAACAACTTTCAAATTGCTAACGGGTTATGGTAACTGATGCAGTCCAACAGCATCTAGTTGAAAACAAGCTCTTTCCATCTTTCTCCCTGTTGAAAGGAAACTTTTCCAAACAGCAGTGGGTCAAAAGATCAGCTCCTATTGGAAAATTGTAAGAGAAGGAAGACCAAATGAATGTAGCTTGGATTTATTACAAGAAAGCATTTGACTCCCTGCCATTTGACTGAATAATTAAATGTCTATAAATTACAGGTGTCAGTAGAAACATCAGAAGCTTTGTGTAAAGATCAATGGCACAATGAAAGACATAGTTACTGGTTAATGGTAACATCTGGGAGAGATCAACATCAAGAAATAAATCTTTCAAGGACGCTTAACTTTGGCCACTATTTTTTGTCATTGCATTGATTTCACTATCAATAATACTGAACAAGTCAAGACATGGCTATCAAACACCAAAAACATCTGCTATGGTATCCCACCTCGTTTACATGGACTGTCTGATGCTGTATGGAAAAAAAAAATGGAATCACTGCTTAACACCGTCTATATACAGTATATAGCTAAGATATTGCAATGGAGTTTGGTCTGGATAAACGTCCCATTTTTACCATCAACAGGGGGAAAATAGTGAAAACTGAAGGAGTCAAGATGCCCTACAGAAATAACCTCTAGAATCTGGATGAAGAAGATCACAACAAATTCTTGGGTATCCTTCATGCTAACAATGTCAAATACACCAAAGTCAAAAAGAAGGCTAGGAGTGAATACATCCAAAAAGTGAAGATCATGGTTAACAGCTTTACAACGCAGTCATTATATATATAGATGGAATAGTGGAATGGATACAACCTGAACTAGAAGCCCTGGATAGGAAGACCACAAAAATAATGACAATCATGCCCTTCCTCCATACAGCTATGTTAACAGATTCTATGTACCAAGGAGCATAGGCGAGTGTGAAATGTTGCAAGTACACCAGACACTTGAAGAAGGAAAAAAGGCATTGGAAGAATACCTGAGGGGACAATGAAGATGAAACTAGTACACCATGAAGGCTTACTGGATACTGGAGAGGACAAACTGCCAAGCTGGGGAAAGGTGAGATTATGCATATTATGTATACAGGTATATTATGTATATTCTGTAAATACATTATCAGAAATATTTTGTACAAATCACACTTGGCTATATCTTACTGTGTGTGCGTTTATATCTTTGGTATTTTGGTTTAACATGTGAACTGAATATAGCTATTGTGGTTTATAATATAATCTATTAAGTGATTTCAGCCAATAATTTCTGAAAATTACTGATGTGTGTACATAATTTTGGAATTTTCAGAAGTATAGTAATACATTTCATTATCTATACAATGTACTTAGTCCTTATTTTATGTTGCTATTATTAGCTGATCAAGTGAATGCTATAGTATTAAAAATGCAGAACAAGAACACACTCTTTTCCTTTAGCAGACAGTGGATCTGAAAATAATAGTTACTATTTAAGGTAATATAAAAGACTCATTTAGTTCAAGATACTGTATTATTCAAAATATTTCCCACCTGCTGTACTACAAGAGATTATAGTATTTATTTTTTTTCCATAATATAGAATTCATTGTAGGTGTAGTCCTACATAGGCAAGTTACATTAATTGAAGATCCATAAAAATGTTTGAGAATCATCTGGTCAAAGACGATGTCTTTCCATCAAATCAGGAGTTGGCATCCAAGGTAATGACTTGTGGAAAGATGCAACAGCCAGTGTAACCAGCTGTCCTTGATTATGTATATGGTTCTGTGGGGAGAAAGACACTGCATGTGTCTCACTCATGGCACCATGAAATGTCTTTTCCTGCTAAGAACTGTTCATGGTTCAGAATAATCAGAAGATGACTTTTCTCCAGAGATTCCTATAAAAAGCAACCACTTTCATCTTCCCTTTTGAAATAATGCTTACATCTGTAAGAAAGCTCATCTTGCAACACTTTTTCTGTATTCAACAAATTAGTTTAAAAATTCATGTTTTGACAAATGTTTTCTCTATCCCACTCTTGGTTCCAACTTTAGAAAAATGTCATTTTGAAGCTCTAAAACAATTTTAAATGTAGATACTCCAGATTGGCTCCATTCCAAAAATATTATGGAATGAATTTCATCTGTAAAAGTTAAGCTATATCATAGATTCATCTTGCTTATTATCAAGTTCCTTCCTTATAATTGTTACTAAACAACCCATGATCCAGTGGGTCATCATTTCAAAGAGATTTCCTTACCAGATTCTTCAATGCCTTCAATAATGGCAGAACTTCTAATATAGTTGAAAAGTTCTTAAAAATTTGGGGAGATATTCAGAGATGTATCTTTCTTGAATGTGGTCCCTATTGAACTGTATAACATTAGGAGTTGACCACAGGAAATGTTTAATCATAATTTGTATTATGTCATAAAATATTATAATTTTTAGGACATAAAATGTTTTACTAAATTTGCCAAATTTCAATTTCATGGGAGTCATGACTCCCAGTGTTTGGACACATTCGGTAAGCTAGCTCATTTGAGGTATCTTCACTTGCCAGATTTGAAAGGCAGAATTTTCAAATTTTGTTGAGGTAATTAACCAACCCTAGTTTGGGTACATGGACTGGCACTGGGGATACTCAGGTTCAAGTTCACTTTAGCAAATTACAAGTTCATTGGGAAACTATGGGCCCAACCTAATTTACCAGGTTGTGGAGTAAAATGGAAAATAGAAGTGCTATGCCATTTTGATTCCTGAAGGAAAAGTGGGATAATAAATTAACAAGCTAATAAAAAAATCCAGAAAAGTATATCTATAAGACATATAATTAAGAAATGGATGACAATCATTATAAAATGCAATCCAAAATAAAGTAAAATTTATTACAATAGATAGTCCTTGCTTAGTGACTGTTCAGTTAAAAGTATAATGAAAAACTTTGACCAATCTTGCATTTATGACATTTATAGGTCTGTAAAGCAAAGGAAAGTTGAAGTAAGATCATAAGCAGAAGCATAGTTTCAAGTAGCAATTGCTTCATTGTATGACATAGTTTTCAGTCCCAACTGTAGCCAAAGAAGGACTACCTGTACATAGCACACTATGTTGTTGAACTCAGTTGGTATGCTTGGCTTATGCTTCAAAGTGTTATTTAAATGGAGAATTTAGAGTTGAATAGACACTATGGTTAAATGGACTACAGACAGACACAGTGTGAATGTAGCCAGAAAGAAGCACTTTATTTCAGGGATAGTTTTCAGTAACCTGAAACACATAAAGGCCCAAGGTCTGTAACCATTTTCCCCAAACCTCTAAAATAAAGCTGGAATTCTGTCTTGTTTTATATTTTTGTATTGCTTTTTAGTTTTAAATATTTTTTAGCAATTGTAAACCAACCAGAATCTCTGGGAGTCAGGTGGCATATAAATTTAATAAACTATTATGATCTTCCTTGGAAGCAGGTCACACAGAACACAACGTGGCCCACAGAGCAAACAACTGCATTGCACAGGAAAGAGTTAACAATCTGAGTGCTCTATTAAAGAAAAGTGTTCGCCCTATTAGGATCGAATTATTAATTTCACAATAAAATTAAAGCCTTTGCTGGAGAAGACGGAAGAGCTAGTGCCAGGGAAAAAAAATGCTCTCTCTTCCACTGAACCTGCCACAAGTCTCAGTGCTCGAGTCCCACGGCCAGGGCTATGGCATACATAGGTAGCATTCGTTCAAACGACTTAATAGGCTTCCTTTCTCGGTTGTGAAAGAAAAGATGCGCGCGCGTTATTCAATCGCCTCTTTTCGGCTCTAATGCTTCCCTCCCGGAGCAGCGTTAGCCAGCCTGCCCTGGCGCAGCTGAAGGGACGAACAACCACGGGTGGTGAGAACGGCTCTAGGACCCAGGGGAACACGGGGCAGCCGGGTTCTGGGAGCCAGATTGCAAATTCTTCTTCGTGACTCAGTCGGCTCCGCGCAGCGCATAGTAGGCGGCGGCGGCGGCAAGGGAGACTACCGAGTAGCGGGTCCGTTCGGCACGCGGGAACAACGGGTCGATCTTAGGGGGGGGCGGCGGCTGGGCGTGGGTAACGAAGAGGACCGGAAGGACCGTGCGCCGCGCTTCCCTTCTAGCTTGGGCCTAGCGTCACCGCCGCGACTGCCGCTAACGGCGGCTCCTGCCTGTTGTCTTTGCAGAGCGCCAAGATGGAGTACGAGTGGAAACCCGACGAGCAGGGGCTTCAGCAGATTCTACAGCTGCTCAAAGAATCGCAGTCCCCGGACACTACAACGCAGAGAGCCGTGCAACAAGTATCCTGCAAAAGAGAGCCGGGCAGGGCGGGCGGGCGGGCGGGCCGGCTCCGGAGATAGCGAGGCCCAGCGGCTGGGTCGGTTTGCCGCATGACTCCGACCCCGCAGGAGGCAAAGCGCTTAAGGCAAAGCGGTCCGCTCCGCTTTGTCGTTTCGGGGTCAGGGAGGGGGGTTCGCCGCGTAACGCCCTGGAGAGGATAACCCTTCGGGGCCTCCGCTAAGGCGACCGGCCGTAGCGGTAATCCAGGCCCAGCCCCCGCCTGACCTGGCGCGGGCTTTGAATCGCGAAGGAAGCCCTGTAGGCGGCGGCGGCGGCGGCAAAGCCTTCGCTCTGCCTCCCCCTCCCTGCGCCCAGGCCCGGCACCTGTTGCGAGTCTGGCGCCAAACCCCGTTTTTCTTTCCAAGGCTTGGCCCGCCTTTAGCAGCTCCGGTGTCGTTTGCTTTCCCAGGCTCGCTCTCGACCACTATCCCTGGGCCTGCGTCTCAAGCTGGTCTTGCGGAGCCGTAGATCCGGCCATCTGTGCCATTAAATTCCTTTCGGAAAATTCCAGCTGGCTCCTTTTCTCTCGAATGATCCTTGTCGACCATTTAGAAACCCGGCGGAATAAGTCTTTTGTACTCTTAAGTATCTCTTTCTGTTGGGACATTTTAACGTATAGGGAGCTAATCATTCTTAACCACCTGAGGTTCTTCTTGTTGGCCCCTCAATTTCATACTGGATCATATTCAGGATAAGGAAAATAATAAACGAATTTTTAGGCTTTTAAAATTGTTTTCTTTTGGTGCATTGACTCTCTGAAGGCAGTAGAGAAGCTAGTGAAGTGTTAAGTTTCTGTATATAGAAAATAGTTTTTTTATCATTGGTAAATGCTGAAAATATTCACATCAAAGATGCTTGCTGTTATTGTTTCAGGCTTGTAATTTTTATGTGTTGGTGAGTGCTATAATGAGTGTGCTTCTGTATGTAGAATTTTAGGATCTAAATTGTTTTTGCTGCTCCGTGAGGTACAGATTTTGGTACAAACTAGGTGTAAATTCCTCTTTTGTATCAGTAATTATACTGTGCGTTATTTGTGCATTTTTTTTAAAGCCAGGTAGTTTAATTTTAAAAAGATATAATCCTAAGTAGGCATCTTTGAATTTTTAGTTATTTTGTTTTTAAATTTTTTATTAATTTTTCAAATAAACATAAACAAATAATACAAATATGGTGCATTTCATTAAAAAAACAAACACATAAAAAGCCTACTCAGTAAGTATTCAGAAATAATCGGCGGTTCCCCCCCCCTGCATCCACACTCCCTCAACCTTCCTACCTACGTACTTCCCTCTTCCTTCCTCCCCCTCTTAACCACAACCTCTCCTCTTTCCTCCTTTCCAACTATCCTACACATCCCATCACCTTCTTTTCCACCACCTTGGATGCAGTTTAGGGGTAGTAGCCGATCATCTCCTTTTCTTAAAGACAAACATTTACATTATATTTATAAATACACCAAATTTTATATAATTCTACCCCTTCATCCCCC